ACAAACCTGCGGAAAAATGCAAGTTTTTTCACTTTGATTATATTGACCAGAGCCTGGTTCCACCACGCTGCCTCACATATTGAAAAACAGTTGAAACAAAAGCAAAACAACATGCAGGTGTAATGATGAAACCAAAAAAGCTATTATTAGAATGAAAAAGAAACTATTCAAGAAAAGGCAGATGTCAAAGACCGAAGATGGCTATAGATTCTATAGAACGCACGAAAGTGAGGAGAGAGACCAAAAGAAATACCAAACCTGCTAAAGAAAATGCATGTAAAGTATAAGGCGAGGAACTCAACAAAATGTGCACGGAAAACCCTCGAGAGTTTTACGAAAGTGTGGACAGCATGCGGGTAAGGAAAGAACCCCACACACAGCCCGACGTGCATGATAGACGACAGAGAGGGTAACGCCATTCTCAGCACGTATGCTTTTGATTTTTAAAGAAAGATGGGAAACTTACTTCCTAGAACTTTTCAGCCCAGATGTCTGCTAAGGACAACAAAAAGAAAACCAACCAACATATTATGCAGAGCAAACAGAGCCACCCACACAGTCTAGAGAAATTGAAACTGCACTCAAAACCAGTTCCAAGAACAAAGCACCAGGACCAGATGGTATCCCAGTATGAGCCATAAAAGCTTGTGGAAACACCGGTGCACTGTGGCTGAGGCGTTTTTGTTTCATAGAGCTTGGGAGGGAAGGAAATGCCCAGAAGACTGGCAGCAAGCTGTGGCCTAGTGGTCCCATTTTGAAAAAAGAAAAAACAAAAACAAAAATGAATGCACAACACACAGAGGCATGGGTCGTTGTTGGGCCTCCCAGGGAAAGCATACATGTACGTGAAGATAACAGAACAACGGAGAAGAATAAGACATATCGTAGAGAGAAACCCGAAGCAAGCTACGTTCGGATCCCGAGAGGGAAGAGGATGTTCGAAGGCTGTATTCGCATTTCGACAGCAGTTATGCGAGAAAACTATTGAGCACAAAAAGAACCCATCATCGTCTGCACCCGCAAAGTCCCGATTCGGCTCAAAATTATGGATTTGAGTTGTAGGCATTTTTAGCTTTCTCAGCCTCTCTTACAACTATTTCATTGCATTAGAACCCCAAAAACCTGTTTTATTCCCACACCGGGCATGTTTGTCACCACCATTTCCTCGTCAAGTCAATATTTTATTTTTCTTTATCGGCCGTTTTCTCAAAACGCGATTTTTCTGTATACTTTTTTGAATAACTTTTCATCCAATCTTCATGAAATGTTCACAGAAAGAAGAGAAGATATAATACTAAAACTCTGTCTTTTGAATTTTTTATATATGGAATAGATTTTTGTTGGTGGTGTCTGGAGTGTGGATTTTCACGGATTTTTTGCAAATTGGAATACTACCTTAGGTAAAAATTCATTTTAAAATGTCTAATTCGTTTAAGAAAAAAACAACAACAGACAAATTTTTAGATCTGATGTTTGTTAACACGTATGCAAAAAAAAAAAGAAAAGAAAAACACAACAATTAATTTCCATGAGCAATAAGTGCGATATTCATTACGCAAGGCATGTCAACGAAATCCAATATGGCCGCCGTATCACCCATTTTCAGAGGTAAAACTAGTGAAAAAATAGATTGGTTATTTCCATAGCTTAAGAGTCCGTGGTAACTGAAAATTTAAATTTTCCGTGCCTTCTGTCAACGTTTTTCAGAAAAATCCACACATAAATGAGTTCTTTAATGGGCATGCAAGGTATTGAGCCAAAAAACAAAATTTTGATAAAAATTCACAAACCTCCAGAAAAATGCGTTTCTTCACTTTCATTTTTTTTTTTTTACGAGAGCCTGATTCCATCACGCTTCCTCACATGTATTATACCAACAGCATAAGCCCAATAGAAGCTAAGGAAGGCAACACAGGCTGGTTCCAAGTAAGATTCTGATTACTAACAGGGTGCATGTTATCTCCCTTCCTTTTTAAACTGATGTTAATAAAAATGATAATAAAATAATAATAATAATACTAATAACAATAATAATAACAAAGATGATAATGATAATAATAATAAAGAGAAGAAGAAGAAGAAGAAGAAGAAGAAGAAGAAGAAGAAGAAGAAGAAGAAGAAGAAGAAGAAGAAGAAGAAGAAGAAGAAGAAGAAGAAGAAGAAGAAGAAGAAGAAGAAGAAGAAGAAGAAGATACTCACACGATGGGATACACACAGCCACGGAGTTCATTACACACTCCACACCTTTCAGGTAGCCATCTTTTTTGTCGCCACAGAAGCGGGTCAGGTTCTATACGGAGTAAAATAAAAGACAGACACATGGAATTGCCGGGCAGATAATGAAGTATTTTATAAGTCTTGCTATTAGTTAAAGGTTTGTACACAAACATGAACAAAATACAGTCGACTACGGATGAGTTGGTGCCGTTGGGGGAGTGAAAAAAAAGATGAACTCATCCAAGTTTAACTTAACTTTTGGGACAGGTAAAAAAAGGAAGAGGAGCAAGGACACGAGAAGGTCATCAACTCAAACAAGATTAACACAAGGAAAGTGGGCTCTGATAATTCTGCGTCTTTACTCCTTGAGGGATGCCATTGTGTTTAATTACATTGGCTGTGGGTAGTGAAGGGCTTATGGGTTTGAGCCCCTCCCCATTTCCCACCCCAACTCTATCTCTTAGTAATGAAAGTTTTTTAAAATAACGATTTAAGCAGTTAATACCGTTATGACCGCATGCAAAAAAACACACCAAAAAAACACAGGGTGATCAACTTGGCGGCTTGCTTGTTTATCCAATAGCTGTTGTCACCGTTTACAACTATAGTAACTTAACAGCCGATCGAATGCCTTTTGGGCTCAGTAAAGGATAAGCCCTTTCTCATGGCCCTTCCTTCATAAAACTCTTTTTGTGAAAGTGTGGAAGATATGAAAAAAGAACACTGTACTTAGGGGTCATACTCTCCTAGCCCTGACGGTGGGGTGAAAGTTTACGAGACAGTCTCCCCCAGACACAGTTACCTATGCGCTCTTTTGACCTTTGTTAGGAGCGGTCTGCTTTTCTCGACAACACAGTCTAGCCCAGTTCATACACGAAATATGCTTGGAGTGTTGGTTGCCTCGCTGAGGTTTAACCGTTATAAATAATGTCGAGCCACTTTTAAGGCAACTTTATCTTCAGATGAAATTAGAGGAAATGTGGAGGGGAAACGACTTCGCCCCCATAAACCAGGAGAATTTCACTTAGGAAAAAGATGGAAGACAAAGGCAACTCTTCTCGTTTGAATGGTTCTCAAAATGCCGTGGTTAACTGTGGACTTAGGGGAAAAATTCACTGTTTAGTTCTTATTGCTTGCTATTTTGTGGTAAAGAAGTGGAAGCAACCTATAACCAATTCAAATTTTGGTCCACTCACCGCCACTGTTTAATAATACTCAGAGCGAACCGACAATCCAGTTCATAATTTATTTTGTGCTGTCTGGGCCAGCAACATTTTCTTTCATAGATGGGAAAAGGCTACCGTTTTTGCACAATAGGACCGATTCGAATTGCGACTTTGTCAAACAAATTTATGTCTTTGATATTGAAGTTCTCATCGAAATTAGTTAAATTCAATCCTACCTCCCTTAACTCCCCCCCCCCCCCCCCACCGCACCCAAAGAACAAAATCACGTCTAAACCCTTACCGCGGGACCAAACGTCACGTTGATTTTCCTGCTCTTCAAGTGTAAGATCTTTATAAAAAGAAAATGTACCAGAAAAGGAAACAACAACTGCCACCCTCCTGCCATAGTTATAAGTAAAAAGGTATGTTCAAAGTGAAGAAAGAGTAGATTGTTTCACCATTGCTGCAATGTTCCCAGACAAAGCAGCCTTCTGCATAGAGAGCACATCTTGAAGAGGAATTCCGTTGTCTGTCATACACTTAATAGCCGTAGCGTTGACGTTGGAGCAAACATCAGGGCTTGGGGCGGCCAGGGATACACCCACAACGGCAGCAAGAAGTACTGAAACGAACAGAGAGAAAGTCCGCAACTAGTAAAAAAGCCAAGTACTCGATTGTAGAGTTTAAATAGGTCCTTTATCTATCTATCTATCTATTTACCTATCTATCTATCTATCTATCTATCTATCTATCTATCTATCTATCTATCTATCTATCTATCTATCTATCTATCTATTCATCTATCCATCTATCTATTCATCTATCCATCTATCTATCTATCCATCTATGTATCTATCTATCTATCTATCTATCAATCTATCTATCTATCTATCTATCTATCTATCTATCTATCTATCTATCTATCCTTCAATGTCTCACTCTTAGCCCCTCCCCTCCCTTCTTCTTCTTTCTCTCTCTCACATTTTAATGTCAACCTATCTTAATGTTGACTCCATTCAAACTATACTCGCATTTTAAATGCTTTCAAGTTTAGACAACTGCAATTTTCTAACGTAAACCTTTCCATAGAAACGATAGACAGGTTACGCGGCTTCTTTTTCAAGCCGATCCCATGATTCTAGAGAACCACGTCAAGGAGCATGTTGCAGTTACACCAATGCTATTCCGACTTCACGGGCTTCTTGTGAAAGCACGTATTCAGTACAAGATAACTATCATCTGTTTCAAGAGCGTCAACAACATTGCACCAGCTTATCTTTACGACATGGTCATCTCGGCCTTCATTATCGGCCAAAAAGACTGTAAATATTATGATAAGTCAGAGACTTGGAGGAAGAGCTTCTTCTAACCATGCCCCCTTCCTGCGGAAAGCATTACCAGCATTATTATCTGTGTTATGATACACACCGAGATTCATGTCGGGTAGTAGGTCCTACTTCTTTTGTTTCCCAAGTTCTTTCTCTCTGTTTATCTTGCTTTTCCCCCTCCACAAAATTACCGTTTTTGGTGTCGATTTGATTCTCATTATTCAAACGAACAAATAAATGAACGTAACGCAGGAATGCACAATCAGGACAACTACAGTAGTAAATCAAATGTATATCTTGAAAATACCATAAGCAAAGTCTCTGCATAGTTGAGGTAACATTTAAATGGCCTCGGGCAAAGCGAGGCGAATAGAATACTCACTTAAGAGCTGCATGCTTATTCGTCTCAGTATTCACCTCTGGGATTGAAGCAGGTCTACTTGTCGAGCCAGAGTCGTTAGTGAGTGTCCTTTGCCCGCCAGGTTTATATAGCACTGTGACTGGGAACTTAGCCTATTTTCAACGGTAGGACATTACGAAATACCTGTTGTCACCATCGTTATCTCAGCGCCTTCTTTGGCCTAAAAACAAAGCAGCCAATGAAAACGACTCTGTCTAAATGTTTTCTAAGGTCAGGCGAGGTCCCTCTCAAGCTGGAGCCTGAGTGTGTGTGCGTGCATCCATATGTGTATATATAATATACTTATATATATATGTAAATATAAACATATATTAATCTCAGGGTGTTGTTAAAAAGGCAGGCAGTAATAAGATCATTAGTGTGTGTGTGTTTGTGTGTGTGTGTGTGTGTGTGTGTGTGTGTGTGTGTGTGTGTGTGTGTGTGTGTGTGTGTGTGTGAATACTTGCAATCCGACCAAACTCGATCTAACAGTTGAATGAACAGCAGTATTATCAGGATTTCAACCTAATATCCTGGGCTAACACTCATGCCTGATATTGACAGTGACTTAAGTCCTTTAAAAGTGGTCTCGTGAAGGCACCCGTGAAGTTTAAATGAAGTCGTGAAATTGACCAGAATTGACCATCTATGCACATTTCTTTACACACTTTACTCTTTGACAGCAATCAAAAATAAATTTCTCCTGCTGCACACGTTTACACTCCTGACATCACAAGATCTATCGACAGCCAAGATGTTTTATTATAAGAAGTAAGAGTTGGCAGCTGTCACGTATTGTTTGTCAGATTTGTGGAGCGTGCCGGCTATACCGGACAGGCATAAGGCCAGTTGATGTTGATTTCTTTGTTCATGGGATTATGTTATCTGGTCGCTTTTAGGGACAAGCGGGCTTACCTAGATTTCGGGGGTTTCCAGAAATCTTGACCTACATCAAGAGACATATAGGAGAAGTTTGGTTTCATAAGAGTAATTAGAGAAAACTCTCCTAGTCTTTTAAAGAAACTGAACAAGGGTCCAAAAACGTTACTTTCGATTTTCTCAAAACAACATTTTTCGGGATAGCCTCTTTGTGCTTAAAAGCGATCTTTTAAAGTGTTTTCCGAGGGAGTTTTATTTATATTTTTACCTTTAAACAGGTAAGATAATCTCCAAACAATGCAAATATGGCCTTTTATGTGGTGAGACCTCATAGGTTAGTAAAACTTATGTGAAAAGACGGTCCCGTGGATTAGATAATTTTTGTTTAAACAACCCCCCCCCCCCATTTATTGGAACCATTTGCTATGCTTTGCACGAACAGTAAGTCTCGATTTAGCACTGCTGACCTCAGCGAGGTGTTTGTATCATCTCTCTGAGATCAGGGATAAAACAGAAGGTTCTAGAAGCCTCGACTGCAACTCGAGAGCACTTTCAAGTTTCGTAGAACGGAAAAGAACCACAGTAGGTGAGGTATTATGTACACATGTACGCTACATTGGGATAAAACAACAACAGCACCCCCCCCCCCCCCCACACACACACACACAAACACACTCACACCCCCTCCCCCCCACACACTCACACAGAAGAAAGAAAAACTTAACTAACTTCTCACTGTGAGCTCAACACTTTATACTGTATGAAGATCAATAGGCACTGCGATGACTGCACTGCCCAAATGTTGGTCTGACTAATAAAAGTAACAGGTGGACGACTGGAAGACAAGGGGCAATTTGACGGCGACTACGGATCGTCACACGTGACTTGCTTTAAAATAAACTTCTGGAAGAAGCCACCAATCTGGCACATTGTGGTCCGACTTTTGTTGACAGTTTCACTTTGAGTAAGAGTTTTACGGCTTTTGCAACACAAATTGGTCATATTATAAGTGCCAAATGTTCGAGGTGTTGGTGGACAGAAAGGAAGGAGGAGAAATATTCACGACAGACGTTCGAGAGGAAAGAAGGAGCAAACCACGTCCGAGCACCACCACCCGCCAACCATTCACTTGATCCCATCCCCCGGAAGAAGTAAATTGTAAGAAAGTTTCTCTTAAAGGAAATTGTTGTCTTTAAAGATATTTTTATTCCTCGTGCACGTGTTAGTAAGTACGAGGTCCATTTATCCCATAAGTAAGTTTCCCATATTCATAAAATGAAAACTAATTCTGAAAAAGGATTTAAAATTGTTCACAACAAACCTATAGGCTATATATATAGTCATGCTCTTTTCAAAACAACCACCATTGTCTAGGCATCGTCGTTGAATCCGGCGTTCGTCAAAATAATGAAATCTTAGAGATCTGCATTTTTCTGCTGGTTTGCCAAGGTTTTTCGAATTTTTCTTTTTTGGCTCAAACATTCAATACTAATTTCTGTGTGGATTATATTTTAAAACTTTGATTAGAGGAACAAAAAATATAAATTTTTAGTTTCCTAGGACTTTCAAGCTAAAGAAGTAACCAAAATTTAGCGTTCATTTTACCTCTGAGATCAGGCGAACCCCACATCTTTCAAACTCAAATATCTGAACTTCTATTCAAGATAGTTGGGTATTTTTCACAAAAAGCAAGGCAAATGGCTCCAATAACTCCGTATGCTCCAAAAACGGAAGAACGCCAGATGTCACCCCATCGTGCCTCATTCTATTGCATTCGCCGTAACCAACCGTCAAATCTGGTGTACGCTGACAAAACGCCTTTTCTTATTCACTGCAGTTTTTGAGAAATCAACCATTTTTTGGTTTTATTATAATCTAAATTATTTTGCACAGTACGTCAACGATTGATCTCATGCCCTGAAGAGAATGTCATTCCTATGCTCAACAAACATTATAAGTAAACCAAAACTTGTTGGATTCTCTAAACGCCTGGGAACCCCCCCACCCCCACCCCCCCAAACCAGGGCGGTACCCCTGACTGAAGTTTCTTTGGGCCATTTCCAAAGGGGGGATATTTCTCGTTCTAGTGCACAGTAGAATTGTAAATGGGCTGATCTAACAATGTCATACTCATAACTGTGCCTGAACTGCAACAGAGAACTGCTGCTTTTTCATTCCTAATCCTTACTATCGTCATTTTCCTTTACTTCTTTTGTATGTTTGTTACACTTTTGTGACCCGCCATTTCCCAGGTGCCTTGATAGTCGAAGCAGACTTTGTGCTGTTGAAGCTAGAGAGGTGAGCAGAGTATGTCTGATTCCCTGTAAGGACTTCTCTGTTGACATCCACCCCTTGGCGCTCATATGACCTTATGCAGTTGCGAGCGCCGTAAAACCTCTACTAGAACAAAGAAAACGTCTGAGAATCAGAGAAAGGCGTTGTGTCAGCGAGCGGGAGAAATGCAATGACAAATACGACGTTGTCCAGGTACCTGATCGCCTACTTTGTGTAGATATTTGTCCTCTAAGGTGTTCCTTCATCTTGGGGAAAAATGAGAGTCACAGTGTGAATAGTGTAGATGCTCCAACATTTATCAAGTGCAACAGCCCAAATTTAAAAAGAAACAGCAACATAATATACGGGAAACTGATCTACTGGATCTCTTCTCAATTTACTTTCATTATTTAGCTCGTAGGCATAATAACATTTACGTAATTACGCTCTTTCAGTGTACCAATCTGTCACAATTCGCATGATGAAAATACAAGCACACACGACCCACTCACACGTCCCACTTTATGCTCTATTGATGTAATGTTATTTATCTTCATTGTCTAGAGCCCCGGCTCTGTTTGCTTTGCTGTACTTTATAACAATTCCAAACTATCAAGTTCGTCTGGGTCGTGCAGTATTCATTGATGTCACCAAACATCCGACAACATGGCCTTGTGCGTCCGTTGGTGCCCCACTCATTCACATGTCTCTGATTTGATGAATTACTTCATGAAGTCGTAAACCCTTGCTGTTTTTATGTTTTCAATGTATGATAGAAGAGGTTTACCTGTTTTAAATAAAAGCTTCATTAAGGTATGTGGCAAAATGGATAGTACTCTACCGGTACAATTCAGATCATTTAGGGGGGAAGGAGCTCGATTACAGCATGTTTTCTATGAGTCTGATCCAAGAGGGAGGAAAGATAATTTTATTTCGTCAATTAGTGTCATCCTTCTCACCTAATTTTGAGCAGCCTTAATGGGGTGAGGCACCGTTGACAAAGTTCGAGCCAGTCGCTGTCCATTCGGTCAAGGATATAATAATGAAATTATTGGTAAGTTTATAGAGTCTCAAGCCTTTTTCACCACAACTTTATCAACTCAACACCTAGACTGTCTTGTATTATTATCAATGTTGTGTCAATGATTACTTCAAGTCAGATACAGTCCCTTCATGTTATAAGCATGTATATGTACAAGTTATTTCTCTTCTGAAGAAATAAAACATGTCTGTGAATAGCTGAAGAATTCTAGGCCCATTTCAAATCCATCGTTTTTGTCCCAAATACTAGAAAAGATTGTTTTAGCCCAAGTTAAACCTCCCCTCAGTCACAACAACCTATTTGCGATTCACCGTAGGCCTATGAGGAGTTCTTTGACACTGAACCTGCTTTTCTAAGAATACAAAATGATATTTTAACTGAAGTTGACAATGGTGAGATATATTTTCTCGCATTTTCAGATCTCAGCACTGCATTTGATACGACTGACCTTACAATCGTGTAACTTTTCAGGTAAAACGATTATCTTTTCTGGGTTTGAGTGATCGTACTCAGTCAATTTGTGTCAGTGGCACAAAGTGCTGCAAAGATCAATTGTTCTGTGGCATGCCCCAAGTATCTGTCTTGGCTCCATTGCTATACACTATGTACAGACAATCTTAAGAGACCATGGTATAAACGTGCATATGTATGCTGATGATATACGGCTATATATATATATATATATATATATATATATATATATATATATCCTGTCCAAAGACTAATGTAACCAAATGGACCAGTATGAGATGTTGTACTGAAAATGTTCGAAAGTGGATGGTTGACAACAAACTAAAGTTAAACGAGGAGTTTAACTGTGTACCAACAAACTGAAAGTTTGAAATTGATAGCATCAAGATAGGTTCTGAAACTGAAATGTTACTTATAGGGAGAGGGCAAAAAAAAGCTAGGTACTTATTTTGACCTTAGATTTTCAATGCAACGTCAAATT